GCTTTGCTGTGACAACACTAGATGCTCACTTTCCAGCTCAGGCTGCCCAGGGCCAGGGATCCCAGCGCCATGCCCACATCACACTGCGGGGTTTGGGTCTTCCCAAACCCTCAGCAGCCAAAGCTCACCGGGTGGAACCGACCCTCAGCCCTGACCAGCAGTCCTGTCTGGAGTTACATCCTGGGGGAGGACTTCGAGGGCCACCACCAAGCAGTAGGTGGAAATGGTGGCATCTCCCTAGATAAACAAACTCCTCATTTCTGTCCTAAATGCATTTTTATCTCTTTAGCCTGGGATCATCTAGGTTGGAAAAGACCTTGAAGATCATCTGCTCCAACCATTAATCATTTCAGGATAATAATTTCAAAGGTTTTGGTCCTTCTGCACAAGTACTCCTCTCTCATACCCTCAGCTGATGACGTTTCCTTCCCCTCTCACTGTATTTCCCAGTAAGTCTCAGTGTTGTTCACCACCCTTAATGCCTCCAGCACCTCACCTGCTCAGGCCGCACCCACTGACTGGACCAAGACATTGTCTGGCTGCTAACAGACATGCCCAGTGTCCTCAGCCATTAATTAACTCCAACACTGCTCATAACGGACCAAAAGATGAGGACAAAGAGCAGACAGGGGCTGCCTCAAGCACTGCAGCAAGGGGCATGGAAGGCGAGGCTGGCTCAGAGCAAGTGAGCTCAAGCTGGTGTCAGAGTTTGGTTCCCCAGGAAGCCACTGACCAAGGTCCTTCAAGAACCTGCTGACAGGGAAAGTCCTACTCGCAGTCTGGTTTTGAGACAGCTTGAGTGGTTTCTGACAACCCAGTGGTTGGCACAACAGCCCTGGAGGCGTCACGCTCTGTCCCGTGGTAGGTGCAAGGTGTTGCTTTCCACTGAGCTCTGCCAGTCTCAGGGCCATTTTCTCTAATTAGACTGAAATCTCACCCCGTCCAGTATTTATCAGGTTTACTACTCATCATCCATCTAAAAACCGCTGGCAGCCCGAGCACGGCCGCCCCCCGCCCCGCTCACCGATCGCTCGCGAGAGGTTGAGGCCGCCGTTCACCCGCCCGTCCATGGTGACCTTCCCGCCAGCGTTCTTTATCCTGGCCAGCTCCACCTCGTCCTCCGGCTTGTGGTCGTACGACATGTCCACAGCCTTGCCGCCCTCCGACACCACGCAGCGCGAGTCCCCAGCGTTGGCCACGATCAGCTGCTTGCCCCGGATCAGGGCCACGACAGCGGTTGTCCCGCTGTCAGAGCCGGGCTGCAAGAGACCAACGTTGTGCTGAGACTCCTTTCTCTTGCCCAGCACCAGGTCAGCGAGGGAACCAGCACCCACGTGCCCAGGCCCGGCAGGGTCTAGGCCCAAAGGTGGCAGCGGGCTCAACCTGCTGCCCAGTACCTGCCCCAGCCCTCAGCCCTTTGCCTAAAGTCAGGCTGCTGGCAGCTGTGCTCGGCCTCAGGAGAACAAACGGGGTGTTTTACCCATCTGAATGGAAATTACTCCTCGCTGACCCCTCCCAGCGCCCCTGGCCCCACTCTACGCTGCAGAACACAAGAACAGGGTGTGCACCTCCTCTTTCCCCTCCATGCCTGGTAGCAACATTTCCTCCTCTTCATCCTCATCCTCCTCTGCTTCTTCAGTGTCATCTTCATCATCTTCGTTCTCTGCCTCTTCGCTGCTGTAACCATCCTCATCTTCACTGCATTCCTACAAGAAACGAGAGATACCACCAGGAGTCACCCAGGCCGCTCCCGGTCCCCCCCAGACAGCTCTGTCCTGGGGACAGGCGGCAAGTTCGCCCCAGAACCGCGAGACAACCTGGCACGTCTCCCCCACACCTGATGTCTACAGTTGGAGCAGCTCGTTCCGACCACCCCGTGAGGGAAGGGATGGGACATGCAGCGAGACCGAGGGCTACCCACTATGGCCGCTGCACAGACTGAGGGGACGTTTCCTTCGGGGTTATCTAAACAACCCCCGACACTCCCGTGGGATGGTCTCAAGTATCAGCCTGAAAAACCTGCTCCTAGGACACACCTAGGATGAGCCAGAGGCTCGTAGCTCAAGTACCACAGTAAGCAATGCATTCTGCCCAGCCAGAAGGCCACTCTGCCCCAGTGCTGTTTCCTACCTCACTGTCTTCCTCCTCTTCCTCAACCTCATCTGACTCATCCTCACTGTCCTCAAAAAATTTGGATTTGGTTGTGCGCTGGGGCTTTCCCGTAGAGGAGCAGGAGGGCCCGGCCTCCCCAGTAGAAGAGGTGACGGCCTCGTCACCTTTGCCTAGTTCAGGCTTCTGCAGAGCAGGGCTGTTGCCTCCAGCGCTGGCTTTGTCTGAGGTGGAGGAAATACCCGTGATTTCTTCATCTGGCTTCCCATTCTTCCTCTCCTTGTGGTCGGTAAGCTCCCCTGGGTCAGCCTCTCCATTCATATTTGACTCCCCATCATGCTGCTTGCCTGTCCCCTCTGCAGTGTTCTCCCCAGCTGGAGCTAAAGACTTGTTTTTGAGGTTCTTGGTGCAGTTTTGTCCATAACGTGTGAGAAGCTCCTCAATGGTCATTGTGGCTTCTTCGTGCAGAAGAGCAGCTTCCTCATTATCCACTAGAAATGGAAAGGGGGAGGGGGGTGAGGACAAAGAGGGTCAGAAAGCAGGACACGTCACCACAGGCCGGGCGGGGACCTGCCCTGGCTGGAGCGTCCAGCGGCACCCAACAGCCCCACCACGAGGCCAGCGCTGCTGCCTGGCTGGAGCACCTAAACCAGAGGTGAGGTTGGAGGGCACAGAGCCTCGCGCGGGCTCATCTGAAGCTGCGGGGGCAGGACACAGACCGCGTTCCTGGGCAGGTTTGTTCGTTAATACCGCAACCGGGAACAAGAAGCTTTGGTTAGAGCAGGTGAGCAGTTAGAGCAGTAGCTCCCTGAGCCTTAAGCACCGCAGGGATCCCAGCCAGCCGTGACCGAGCTCACGAGCAGATGACAGAAGAGCTTCAGGCAGAGAATGCAGCATCTCCCAAGCAGGACACGAGACAGAAAATAGGATGATTCGCCCTAAACTGTGAGCCCTTGACCTTCCCTACTGACATCCACTTGGTTATCATTTTCATTGCTAGTTAATCCTAAAAGGAAAAGAAACATCCATATCCCCAATACTCCTGAAAATACAGGACAAAAAGAAAAAAACCCAACCAACCAAGAAAAGCCCACTTTGTCCCTGTCAGCTGGTGATTGAGGGCCAATAAATCCAGCATTTTCAAACCAACACACAGCGTTCAAGGCGACGGTGTCACTTTACAGTGCTTCAAGGCCAGTCACAAAATATTCAGCCAAGAGCAGCACGGGATTCTACCTTGGGATTCACCTCCTAGCTGGCTTCATGGCCTGGCAGCTACTCGCTGGTGGAAAAGCACACTTGCTTCTTTGTGAGAAAGAGAGACCAGAATCTGCTTCGATCCTGTCTGCAGCTGGTGTCTGCCACCAGCCCGGGGGAGTTCAGCACTGGACATTGTCCTGTTTCCTTTTCACAACTCAGCCCCAGCTCAGAGGCTTCGGACACACCCCAGAACTCTGCACCCCATGGAGGAAGCCCTACAGAAAACTGTGACAGCCTGTTTTTTTATTCACAGCATTCGGGTACCAAGTGAATCAGAATTCCCCTAGCACCAGCCCAAAGCAATAAACAGGGGTGGGCAGATCGACTCCAGCTGAAATTTAACTGAGGAATTTGGACAGAAATCCTGCTAAAGGAGACCTGGCACAACTGCCCTCAGTCCCTGTGCTGGAGCTGCAGTCTCATCTGTGCAGTGGCATCTGACTTACCATCATCTTCATCAGCAACCTTCTCCTTCTCATCTTCATCATCTTGGGGTCGCCCAGCCATCTGAGAGAGTTCTTTAATCACCTCCTCGGTGGTCAGCTTGGCATCTATGGCTAAGAAAGCATCTTCCAGGGCCTACGTATGAACACAGACATGAGAGTGTGTACAGTTTCATCTTCCTTACAGGATGGGGTGTGTCACGCTGTGCAATCTCCTCCAGAACACACCCCGTAGAGAATCACAGAATGGCTGAGGCTGGCAGGGACCTCTGGGGCACACCTGACCCAGCCCCCTGCTCCAGCTGGGACATCCAGAGCCGGGTGCCCAGGACCCGGCCGGGCGGCTGCTAATGGCCCCAAGGATGGAGACTCACCCCCCCCCAGCAGGCAGTGTCCCCCCCACGCTGAGGAGCGTGTCCCGGGGGCCAGCTGGTGCCCGTGGCCTCTGGTCCTGTCCCTGGGCACCGCGGGCAGAGCCGGGCTCCCTCCCCGCGGGTGTTTGCAGACACGGAGTCACCCCCTGAGCCTCCCCTGCTCCGGGCTGAGCAGCCCCAGGTCCCTCAGCCTCTCCCCACAGCAGAGCTGCCCCCGTCCTTCCGTGCCCCGGGCCCCTCGCCGGGCTCTCTCCAGTCTGTCCCTGTGCCCCAGCACTGGGGAGCGCTGGGCCCGGCCCTGCCGCGGTGGGGGCAGAGGCCGAGCCCCATCCCCTCCCTCGCGGGCGATGCTTTGCCCAAAGCCGCTGATCGAGGGCCCGTCGCTGCCTCGCGGCCAACTCGGTGCCCGCCGGCGGGTTCCCCCAGGGCCCTGCGCTGCCCCTCGCTGCCCTCCAGGAGGTTCCCCCAGCCCCTTTCTCCAGCCTGTCCAGCCCCCCCGCACCGCGGAGCACCACGACCCTCTGC